TATTGCTAAGTTTTTTTTAACAAAATACAGCCTATTACACAACTAAGGACCAAAAGAATGAAAAAAAAATAAGTTAAATCTACCTGACAGTTCTTGCTGATGATGAGCTCTTTCACCATAGAGATGTTATTGGAGACTCGCTAAACATACTGCAGAATATGTCATTGCTCATGCAACTTTCAGTTTTCTCATGTTGGAACAAAGTTTACTCATGCCCCAGGCAGCCAAGCCACTATTATGGTTGCTGTGTCTGCCCTTCCTTTTCATTCTTCTCTGACTTTATCTTGTTCACCTGTTAAGGAAAAGAAATGTCAATCAGTAAGACATCAGTAAGAGAAGGCAATTAAAGTTTGTATTTACATTCATTGGAGAAGGGGTTACAAGAGAATAAGCTGGGACAATGGGGAATACATATAGAAGGAATGCTCTACCATGATATGTGGTATATCATCCCCTCCCCTAGAGATGAATTTGGCCCTGACCCTCATAATAGTTTGTATTGAGCATTATTAAGTATAATTATTTTGATTATGAATGTTATGAATTTTTTATGATGGAGTCTTAGATGCTTTTGTATCATTGTTATTTATTTAAACTATTGCATTGTCCAGTTGTCTTGCTTTGATTGTTTGTAAGCCATTGAAATAATTGATAACAGAGACTGGTCAGCAATAAAGACAACTGAGGGAAAGGGAATTGGTTGGGTTTGGAATTAGAACCATAAAAAAGTGAAAACACTTCTGAAGCTAGAGCAGAAGATTGTAAATTATACAAAAACTAAGGATATCAGAGAACTAACCTATTAGAATAATAATAAAACATGCCAGAGTAAAGGTTAACATGAAAAACAGAACAGTATTTAGAAATTTATGAACAGCCAGAAGAAATAGTAGACACAAGATAAACATAACAACTGAATGTTTGGAGCTGAAGCGATGGGAGCTCTCCCTGACATTCAACAGAACTCAAGCTTTAAATGTGGGCTTGCAAATTAACTCTGCATCCTAATCACATGAGCCTCTGCATTCCTACTACCATCCCTGAATTCATGATAGACATAAATATACATGTCGCTTTTTTCTTTAACAAAAATACATATCAATGCAAAAAAAAAAGTTTAGAAGCAATATAGACTGATACAAGCAGAAAATAGCATAATTTGCCTACTTCTTAGCTTTCTTTTTCCCCCACCATGGAACTACAAAATATGTATATCATACATGAATGGCATTTACACCAATACTGCATTTTTTTTCTATCTAAAAATATTTTAGTGCCCATATAAAGCAAAATAAAATAAAAAATTAAGGAAATAAGACAATTCTACCTTTTCTATATATTTCCGGTAAAAAATTGTTACTGCCAAAATCCACAAAGGTAATGAAGACCCTAAAAAGAAAAAAAAATACAAAGTGCCATCGTAAAATTACAGTGTCTTAGTAAAAATAACTAAAACCAAGAAAATTAATATGTGATTCAAAATGTGGTTACTCGGTCCTTTAATTAAATCCTTACAGCTGGAATATTACGTGGAAACTATTCCAATCTTAATACCTGTTAATTGCAGAAATACACTAACCTGTGGACAATTAAATTATTTGAACAATCAGTATGAAAATTAATTCAGAACAAGCCAGATTGAAAATTTCCAAAGAATTTTTAAATTCTGACCAGCAGACATAAAGACCTAAAACTGGACATTAAAAAAGATCCAAAGTTAATACCTTCAAAAAAATTATTTCCCCAAACACCTAGATCACATCTAATCATAACTCTAGTATCCTATTTTTAACCTTTCAGGCAGTCCTTGGGAATTATTACCCACATACCATATTGCAAATATAACAAGTAAGCAAACAAGCAAATGCACATGTACTAATAATGTATAACCATCTATAGTGAAACAAACATGGGAAAAGAACTATCTCATCATATAATTATCAACTCCATCAATCTCAAAGGATGCAATCAAAATGCAGATAAGTCAAAAGCACCATTTTATCAAATAAATTATCTACCAGCATCAAGGATCCATCACTTGCAAAAAAAATCCCATCCCCCCATGTCCCATACAAGCCACTCAAGCATGTGCAGGGCAGGTATACACAAAGATATGTAACTCCATCATCAAAAACAATTTCTTCAGAATTCCTACTGCAGTATTACCTGCCAAAGTAATGAAATTACTTTATCCAAAACCCAATCACAGAGAACTCTCACACCATGAAGGCAAACCCCAAGCTATACATGTTTATTACCATCTCATGAACTGAAACAATATGGACAAAATTGTGTTCTGTGTTATCCATATTTGCACAGAAGTTCAAGAGGAAGCTTGGTTACACTATTGAGACGTCTAGGTTAAAAGGAATGGAAGAACTAGTTCCACCCAATAAAGAAGTAGATGAGGTTTCCAAAAATGAACTGCAGATTTTTCAAAAGAGAAATTGAACAGTGCTAAGATTTACATGTTCATTTTCAAAGTTACATACCACATATAACTAGTTTGATGAAGTTACCTAAAAAGAAAAAGAAAAATTATTCTGGTAAGTGAATTTCTTACAAAATGAACATACATATTATTTATGGAACAATGAATTATTCAGGCTCGAAAACTCAGCAGAAATTATTAGCTGAAACTCTACACTCTGAGGAGGTTCATATAATTTTTTTTTAAATAAGTTTTCAACCTAAAAACCTATTGTACAATCGAGAAATCATGTAGTTTTAAAAGAATATAAATTGGTGTACTCATTCTGAAATAAAATTTTGATCATATTTTCTTTTAAAAGTACAAAAAATAATATTACTTATCAATATTAAGCATCTAGAACAGCACAAAACAACAGAGTAAGGTTACCTGCATTGAAGGTTTTTCAAAAGAAATAGCTAGCACAAGCATTAAAAGATGCCAAGTAATGTAATATCAAATTTAAGCACTAGCTCACTGCAAATAACAATCCAACTAATATACAGCAAAAACTGCAGTTCTCATTGAATATCTGGGGTGCAAAGTCAACAAAGATAAAAGGCAAACTATGCCCCACCAAAATGTAAGATCAGGCTGGAAAATAAGATTAGCAAACTGAGATAAGATTCAAGTAAACTAGAACAGATGAATGAAAATAAACTTAACAAAAAGAAAACCAAAGAATACCTAATCAAGAAATACCACTTAGAAACAAGGAAGATCAAGTAAGCACTGGAAATAATAAAGGAGCAAATAATAGTTATAATCAAGAAGATTAGCAGTTAGGAAGCTCAAATTGCAAATTATATACAAAATCTCCAATTTCAATACAAACAGAAGGATTTCTATTAATCTATCAATGGAGAGACTGCAGCAGTAGTGGGTTCTGGCAGGTACCCCCCAGTACGGGCGTACCAGTGGCCGCTGGGAGCAGCGGCCACCGTACCAGAATGGTGCTTTGGAGGGCCCACCCGTCCTCCCTCGTTCCTTACCTGTATTTAAGCCAACCAGGCCATTTGCGCACGCAAGCGCAGCATACAGCACCTCCGCAACCTCCGCCAAGTAGCTGGAGGGTCGCAGTAGGTGTGTATGCATGCACAGAGTGCGTGCCCATGGTGGACGCCCAGCCCTATCACAGCATACCAGTTGCGACAGGATCCAGAACCCACCACTGGACTACAGTGAATCAATCAGTACCTGACAAGGAATAAACTTGGGTGAAGATATAAGAAATATAACAAAAATGCAGCTTTGTTAAAGGAGGTGGATAAGAATTTAAAAAGGTAAAATGAAAGAAAAAGGGCAAGGAAGATCAAGAATTGGTCAGCAGCAGTTGAAGATAAATTTCATGGATTTTGGTAGAAGCATCTGACCAGTTTACATGTACGTGTTGCCAAGCAGTTTAACAACATACTGCAAGGAGCTGATATGGAAGAGTAGCTAATATCTGGCAAAATGAAAGATCCAGCAAAAGAGACAACATCAGGCAACTACAGGCCAATTACCTAATAGCCAACAACTGTCAAATTACTGACTGGTGTGGTAGCTGATGCAATCTAACATCATCCAGTTGAAAACAAGCTACTTCCATGTGAGCAGAAAAGAAATCCCTCAAACAGCAGAGGAACAAAATCCAAATCCAGTCTGAATATGACTGACTGACTGTGTGACAAACAAGGTTTCAGCACAGGGGTACTAAAATGTTATTTACACACTATAGGAGCTGGCAGAAAACATACAGGTTTAAAAATACCAGAACTTCCCATTTTTATTTTACGTTGCTACAAGGCAAAATCTGATTTATGTTCACATAAGAAACAAGGGGAATAGAGAGGTAAACTGGGAATGCGTAGTCTTCTAGCTGAGATCATCCTAGATCATTGCATTAAGTAGTATTTTTCTTTTGTGTGAAAAAAGCAAAGCAGCTTTCTTCAGCCTTCTTTCAGCCAAATACATTTTGTCAGATTAGAATTCTACAATCTTCAAATCCATGCTATATTTTAAAAAGAGAACAGCAAATAATTTCTAGGCAGTTAAAACAATGCTTACTTANAATAAATACCTAAAATACCTAAATCCCGGGCGACCCTTTTTCGGTTGGTACGAAGCTGCTTCTCAGTGCTTTTTCCGGCATTTTTCATCTGAATAGTTCAGGCTGTGCACCCACACACTTCCAGAATCTCTGCCTCTTCCCTCTTCCTGGATTCACTAAGATGTTTTTAAAACTCATAGCCTGTGCACCCACACACTGCCAGAACTTCTGCCTCTTCCCTCTTCCTGGATACACTCAGATGTTCTTAAAACTCACAGCCTGTGCACAAGGACACACTTCCAGTCCGTCTGCCTCTTCCCTCTTCATGGATTCACGGAGAAAGTTTTAAAACTCACAGCCTGTGCAAACGGAGACACTTCCAGCCCCTCTGCCTCTTTCCTGTACCTGGATTCACTACGACGTTTTTAAAACTCATAGCCTGTACACCCACACACTTCCAGAACCTCTGCCTCTTCCCTCTTTCTGGATTCACTCAGACGTTTTTAAAACACACAGCCTGTGCACAAGCACACACTTCCAGCCCCTCTACCTCTACCTTCTTCCTGCATTCACTCAGACGTTTTTAAAACTCACAGTATGTGAACAGCACACACTTCCAGCCCCTCTGCCTCTTCCCTCTTCATAGATTCATCGAGGAAGTTTTAAAACTCACAGCCTGTGCACACGCACACACTTCCATCCCCTCTGCCTCTTCCCTCTACCTGGATTCACTCAGATGTTCTTAAAACTCACAGCCTGTGCACAAGGACACACTTCCAGCCCCTGTGCCTCTTCCCTCTTTATGGATTCATGGAGAAAGTTTTAAAACTCAAAGCCTGTGCACAAACACACACTTCCAGCCCCTCTGGCTCTTCCCTCTTCCTGGATTCACTAAGATGTTTTTAAAACTCATAGCCTGTGCACCCACACAATTCCAGAACTTCTTCCTCTTCCCTCTTCCTGGATACACTCAGACATTCTTAAAACTCACAGCCTGCGCAGAAGGACACACTTCCAGTCCCTCTGCCTCTTCCCTCTTCATGGATTGAGGGAGAAAGTTTTAAAACTCACAGCCTGTGCAAACGGAGACACTTCCAGCCCCTCTGCCTCTTTCCTGTACGTGGATTCACTACGACGTTTTTAAAACTCATAGCCCGTACACCCACACACTTCCAGAACCTCTGCCTCTCCCCTCTTCCTGGATTCATTCAGAGGTTTTTTAAACTCACAGCCTGTGTACAGGCATACAATTCCAGACCCTCTGCCTCTTCCCTCTACCTGGATTCTCTCAGATGTTTTTAAAACTCATAGCCTGTGCACCCACACACTTCCAGAACTTCTTCCTCTTCCCTCTTCCTGGATTCATTCAGAGGTTTTTTAAACTCACAGCCTGTGTACAGGCATACAATTCCAGACCCTCTGCCTCTTCCCTCTACCTGGATTCTCTCAGACGTTTTTAAAACTAATAGGCTGTGCACTCACACACTTCCAGAACGTCTGCCTCTTCCCTCTTCCTGGATTCATTCAGAGGTTTTTTAAACTCACAGCCTGTGTACAGGCAT